TCATTGCTAGAGGACAGGGCAGCAAATTAGTTTACCAATGTCACGCACAATCTGTCTCGTTGAGTAGCCTGGGTGTTCCCTGGTGCCTGACACATACACAGAGGAGATGCTGACACACACATACACAGATGTTTGATACATGTTTGCCATGAAAAAGTGAGGAGCTGATTAATGGATGGAAGCCATGGATATGTCATTGACCCAGATCACAATACCTCACGGACTACGGACATGACTTTTATTCTCCCCGGGGACCATTTTTCAAATCCTTGACTGTCAGAGCTGGAAGAGGCTTGAGGTCATTCTAATCCAACCTCCTGATGTTGTAGACAAGGAACAATGAAGCCACCTTGGAGAACTGTCTAGCTTAAGGTTCAGCTTGGCAGCCATGAAGCGTAGCTTTGTAACTATGCTGTGCTATGCGCAGTCTCTCAGTAATGTCCAACTCTTTGCAACCCTATGGAATCTAGCCCTCCAGGGCTAGAGCCCTCTGTCCATGGGATTCTCCAGGCAAGAATACTAGAGTGGATTGGCATTTTCTCCTCCAGGGGATCTTCCTGACCCTGGGATCAAACTGGCATCTACAGTGTCTCCTGCTTTGGCAGGCAGATTCTTTGACCACTGAGCCACCTGGGAAGCCCCTTGTAGCTATGCACAAAGGTGCAAATTAGTCACGAGGCTGGCCAGTTCAGTGGGGAAACTGCATAGTGCTGAAATACACATTAGGTCTAATAATGCATGGAATGCTGGAATAAATGAACAGATCCATTTTCATTCCTGGCAAATGATCCTAAATACACACCTTACAGAGAGTGAGTCATCCTGTTCTTATCTCCAGGACAGAGAGAAGATGTGTCTGGGTGTCCACTCCAGAAAGAGAGAGTCTCAGAGCCCGTTCATGTCTGACTTTTAAGGACTCATTTACTTCTGGGTCCAGAATATCCTGGCTGTCAAGTACAAATCCCCTCTGCCTTTCCAGAACCATCTCATTTAGCTAGATGTTAAAAACTTCCTGTCTCTTTATTCAGAGAAATCAAGGTTGACTCTACTGTTTTCCCCTCCCAGCAAATTATCTGCTTTCTCGTAGATAAATGCAACCACAATGGCCATTCACGTTTCTGAGGAACTTATCTGGAAAAAAGGCATCTTTGTGTAAGGCTAAGTAAATAAAGAAAACCCCTCTTTTCTGCTTTTTCTCTCCCTGGGCCTTTTAATGCCACTGGAATAAAATTTAGTTTACACAGTCCTGAAACTACAATAAGAGCAATTAACAGAAATATGGATCCAGGTCATGCCAGAGACTTCCTTCTCTGAAGGCTATTGAGAAACGTATCTAAGCAAGTGGAATTCATTTGTATGTCCTTTCAAATTGAAGACGCTGGAAATCAAGCAATCAAACTTTTGTAAATAACAGGTGATTCATGTCCATATTGTATGGCTGAACAGGAAGAACACTGGCTCAGAGTTTTGCAGTGCGGGTTCTGCTCTATCACCGTCATTTCCTATTTATGTGACTTTGGGAAGGCAGGTCCCTTATAGTCTCCACAAGACTCAGTTTCGTTATTTGTAAAATCAAGAGCTTCCCAGGTGGCGCTAGTGGTAAAGAAGCTGTTTGCTAATGCAGGAGACTTAAGAGATAGGGGTTCCATCCCTGGGTAAGGGAGATTCCCTGGAGAAGGGCACTGCACCCCACTCCAGTATTCTTGCCTGGAGAATCCCACGTACAGAGGAGCCTGGTGGGCTACAGTCCATAGGGTTGCAAAGGGTCTGACCAAACTGAAGCGACTTAGAATATACTCAGAGGTTACCTGGGAAAAGAGCTAACACAGTCTGAGGAACCTAGTTGGCTCATGGCTTGATTTCAACCAGTGTGTAAAACTTTTAGAAAACTAGATTTCAATGGAATGAACCTCAGGCAAGAATGACATTGGGCAAGTAACTATTCCTCTGGACCTCAGTTCCCATACTATGTTCTGAGTGTAGCTGGGCTGATCTCTGAGAGGTTTTCAAATAGTAGTAATTATATGCAAATTACTTAAAAAGTGCTTTGTATATGTATGTATGTAAATGTGATATCCATAGAAGAAGAGTCTGGCAGGCTTTAGTCCACAGGGTCACAAAGAGTCAGAGACGACTGAGTGATTCAGCATAGCGCATGCACAGACACACACACACACACACACACACACACACACACAGGAGTTAAATAATATCATCACTTAAAAGAGGAAGGTGGCACGGTTGGGAGAGAGCAAATCCAAGGCCACAATACTGAGAATAGGAATTACCAGATCCTGAAGACTATCAAGACCCTACACGGATCTGCCATACGACAGTGTCATCTCAGAGATGGTGCCACAGTGAAATATATAAGTATGATGGGGGCAATATTAAGGCACTTTGATTCCATGCCTCTCAACACTTCCAACACTGTCTTCTTAGGTTCAAGCCTCCCTGAACCTAGACAAAATTAGACAAAAATTAAATAATCTATAATCTTTTCCTCCTTATTAATTTAGACTGATAACTAACAAACGGACTATGAGCCCTGCTAGGGTGGATGATGTCTCTCCCATTTGAATTCCCAGCTCCCACTGGACACATGGATTTTTGACTTGAGCTTACATTGGACTTTATCTAGCTCTGTTTCCTGCTCATCTTTGCAGAATTTTTTATTGACTTTCAGTTCAGTTCAGTTTAGTCACTCAGTCGTATCCAACTCTTTGAGACTTGATGGACTGCATGCAGCACACCAGGCCTCTCTGTTCACCAACTCTTGGAGCTTACTCAAACTCATGTCCTTTGAGTCAGTGATGCCATCTAACCATCTCATCCCCTGTCATCCCCTTCTCCTCCTGCCCTCAATCTTTCCCAGCATCAGAGTCTTTTCCAATGACTCAGTTCTTTACATTAGGTGGCCAAAGTTTTGGAGTTTCAGCTTCAACATCAGTCCTTCCAATGAACACCCAGGACTGATATCCTTTAGGATGGAGTGACTGGATCTCCTTGCAGTCCAAGGGACTCTCAAGAGTCTTCTCCAATGCCATAGTTCAAAAGCATCAATTCTTCTGCCCTCAGCTTTCTTTATAGTCCAACTCTCACATCCATACATGACCACTGGAAAAACCATAGCCTTGACTAGATGGACCTTTGTTAACTCTCTTGCTTTTTCAATGATCCAGTGGATGTTGGCAATTTGATCTCTGGTTCCTCTGCCTTTTCTAAAACCAGCTTGAACATTCGGAATTTCACGGTTCACGTATTGCTGAAGAGGTGGCTGTGGCGGCCGACAGGAGCGGTGACAGGAGCTTCCCCACGCCCCAGGTCAAGATGCTTAGCCTGTGGAATTTGCATTCCTTATCCCTAAGTATTGAGTTGGCCAAAATGTTTGTTCAGGGTTTCCCTAAAGTGTTATAGTAAAACCCAAACCAACTTTTTGTCCAACCCAATACAGCGTCGGGATTGAGTTGAATTGTAGGACAACTGTTTAGTGTTGCCATTTTTCTTAGATGTTTGGGGACCCTTCCCCACTGAAACTGGGTGCAGCACTCTTCTCTCCCTGGCCACATGCAGGAATAGCAAAAACCTATCAACTGAGATGCCACCCAAAGCATGAGAAGGCCCCAGGGTAAAGGAAGAAGACTCACCAGGAGGAAAAAATGTATGGGCTAATATTTTATCCATTTCTCCACAGTGAATACTCTCAGTGGGCTATTCCATGTTACAGCAAGACAGACTTGGCCCTGAGATGTCTGTCACAAGAAAAAAAGAGGTGTCTTCAGTCTTGTCAAAATTGGGCTTGGCCAATGAAGTCTGTGCATCTGGTGACCATGAGAGAGAAGTGTGGACAAAATCTAATTGTATCTTACTGAGGAGTTAGCCAAAGACACTCGCTCCTGCTCCTGCAGGCATGCTCAGTCATGTCTGACTCTTTGAGACCCCATGGACTGTAGCCCGCCAGCCTCCTCTGTCCATGGGATTTTCCAGGCAAGAATGCTGGAGCGGGTTGCCATTTCCTTCTCCAGGGGATCTCTCTTGACCCAGCGATGGAACCTGCATCTCCTGCAGTAGGAGAATTCTATACCACTGAGCCACCCGGGAAGTCCCTAAATGAAAAAAAGGAAGAGAATGCTTACTGAGTATCTACCATGCTCCTGGTCAAGAAGACTTTAACCTACAAACCTGCAAACCCAGATCCTCCACTCTCCAGTTATATAACCTAGCAATTTATTTAATCTTCCAGTACATTATAAAGTTTTTATGAGCATTAAACCAGATCAATTAAAGTTCTAGAACACTCCCTAGCATGTGGTAGCACTTGATAAGTTTTATCTCTTATTATGTTGGGGTTTTTCACAATGTTTGTGTGGGGTGGGGGTGGGGCAGAGAGGAAGGGATATTTTCAGTCACCTAGGTGACCAGGGGTATTACTGATATTCAGAGTTCAGCTTTCAGAGATACTTACTATTTTACAATATATGCAACAGACTCACACAAAAGAGGGTTTTCCCCACCCCAAATGTCAATAGAAACCACAGAGCTAGGACCTATAATGTGAGTTGCATAAGTTTTAATCATTACCAAATACAATAAGGTCAGTTATGATTACCCCTAATTCACAGATGAGATACCTAAGATTTTCAATCACTTGCTCAAGGTCAAAAAGGTATTAATTATGGCTTGCTTTTGAACATACACATTTATGTCTCTAAAATTAACAGGCTTTTTGCTATACACTGCTTTCTCAATTTTGGGGATCCAGATATTGGAGTTCAAGTCCTTTAGAAAAATGGAAAATTGGGAGTGAGTCCAAATTTCTATCATAAGTTGAGTAGAAATATCCTAATTGGGTGGAAAAAAATGGCTAATTTACAGGAGAGGTTGTTGAAGTTCAGCAGCTTCAGCTATGTGAGAAGCTGCTCATTAGCTAGGAGGGAGCTTGTGTTACTAATAACCAGTCTCTTCTGTATCAGGAGTCTCTACTACTGCAGATGGTGTGATCACACCATGGAGACGGCGTGGACATCCACAGTGGCCACCAAAAACATGAGCTTCCCACATAGGTGTTTTGAGCTGATGTACGGAGAAAACTGGTAATTAAATGAAGGATCAAACACACCAACATAATACGATTTAAGGCATTAGATGAAAGCACCTCTGTGAAATATATTTTTTTCTTCAACTCAAAAAAAAAAAAATCAGAAACATAGCCTCCATAGGCTTCCTGCATCTATTCCCCAATGTCTATAATAATTCCTTGGACAGGGTGCAATGCATTACTACCCAGCACCTGAATTCATCTGTGTCTATATTCACTTATTCATTTAACAGTTATTTGTTGACTCCATTCAAGGACAAGCCATTGTGCCAAGAACTGTGGATACAAAAATGAATGTAGCATATTATTGTCTTCAAGTTTATGATTTAATGAGGGGGTGTTAAGAAATGATTGCTATCCCTTGTGTGAAGAATGATACTAGAAGGATTTACCTTTACAAAGGTAGCACAAAAGGCAGAAAGGCTAAAGGCTCATCTGGAGAATCCAATCAGGCTTCCTTTATTTCGCTATTGGTTTGGGCATTCATCAAGGGTACAAAAGGAAAGGACTTTCCAGGAAGAGAGGTGAGCAGATGTGCCACAGTAAGAAGCAAAGGTAAGAAGCTCAGCTCCAAGAAGTTTGGTGAGGTGTGAACAAAGGTAGGAGGGGAAAATGTGGACATATAAGGCTGGAGAGCAGGCAGGGGCAAGATCAGGAAGGGATCTTGCTGAAAAAAGTTGCCTTTTATTTGACAGTTAATAGTGAACCAGTAGCAGTGTAGGGATATAATAAATAAAAACTGAAAGTGGATGCCTCTTAGTATTTGATACAGAAGAAAAAAAAAAAGGTATTGAGATGTGCCTTTTATCCCATGATGTCCCTGTTAATATTTAATGAGATACCAAGTCTATGCCTTTGTCTTTTATGGCTGTATCTCACATTTCTTTCTTAGGATCCACTCTGAATGTGTGCATTAACTCCTCATTCCTGTCTCTTTGTGACCCCATGGACTGTAGTCCACCAGGCTCCTCTGTCCTTGGAATTCTCCAGGTAAGAATACTGGAATGGGTTGCCATTTTCTTCTCTAAGGGATCTTCCTGACCCAGGGACTGAACCCTGGTCTCCTGCATTGCAGGCAGATTCTTTACCAGCTGAGCCACCAGAGAAGCCCAAATGTGAGTAAAAACACCATAGCTGCAAATTAAATATAATGAGGGTCTGAACTAAGGGACCACTGTTAGTATTTAATACAGAAAAAAAAGGTACTGACATCTGCCTTTTATCCCATGATGTCCCTGTTAATATCCAGAGAGACACCAAATCTATGCCTCTGTCCTTTAGGCCTGTATCTCACATTTCTTTCTTAGAATCCATTCTCTGGTCCCCTGATTCAGACTCCAGTTATATTTAATTTGCAACTATGGTGTTACTCACAATTACTGTCTACTTCCTTTCAGCCATTATGCTCTTACAGTTTTTTAAAATCGGAAAATCAGGGATTGTATGTGCTAAATACAAGATAGGAGCTCAATACATACTTCTTGAGAGATTGCTTCCTGTTGATCTGTTGTTTAGTCACTAATCAGTCAGTTCAGTTCAGTTGCTCAGTCGTGTCTGACTCTTTGCGACCCCATGAATCGCAGCATGCCAGGCCTCCCTGTCTATCACCAACTCCTGGAGTTCACTCAAACTCATGTCCATCGAGTCGGTGATGCCATCCAGCCATCTCATGCTCTGTCGTCCCCTTCTCCTCCTGCCCCCAATCCCTCCCAGCATCAGGGTCTTTTCCAATGAGTCAACTCTTCACATGAGGTGGCCAAAGTATTGGATTCCACACACTCGACGTTGCTCCAGGGGGTACAGTTCATGACCATGACCGTCCCATCAGGGCACCTGGGTACAGACACAGGGGGACCCATCAGGGAACAGCTGGCTGGATGAGGAGAAAGAGGGGGCAGCCTTCTGTCCTGGGTGCCCTGACAAGACAGTAGAGGGGGTACAGGCTCCTGCTGTCTGCAGGGGAGGGTCCCCTCACACGCCCTCACTGGGCAGGAGAAGAATCCAGGACTGTGTGCGGCGGCCCCGGGTCCTGCTGTGCTTCAGGAGCGGGGCTTCCTCTGCAAGGCCGGCCCTGGCCGCCCTGGGCTGCGTGGGAAGCTCTGGGGGGTGCCTCGGCCAGGCCAAGGGTCAGAAGGGTGTGGGCACAACCTTGACTCATCCTCCAGCCAAACGTGAATACGATGGCTGCGTGGGAAGCTCTGGGGGGTGCCTCGGCCAGGCCAAGGGTCAGAAGGGTGTGGGCACAACCTTGACTCATCCTCCAGCCAAATGTGAATATGAGGCCCTCTCATCCACCTGTTGACTCTTCCTACGGATCTCAGCCAACACTGGAGCATCAGAGGCTAGTGAATTACTATTGGCCCCTGCGTCCCTGAATAGGAAAGATTCAGGTGCTACTGGGGAACAAGGGCTGGGTGTGAGACCTGTCGAGTTGGCTCCGGTTTTATAGGAACGTTGAAGGAGCACACACATGGCCCCATTATGACTTCTGTCTGCTGTCAGCACTTAGGTCTTTCTAGGCCACTCCCGAGGAGACGTGGGAAGGGGCCACTGGGAAAGCCGTGCAGGACAAACGGTGGTGGTGGGGAGCGCTGCTGCAGGCTTGGGAGACCCCAAAGGCACAGAGGAGCTCTGAGAGGTGGGAGGGGCTTCACGGAAGCAGAGCGTGAAAGGGGTACAAGGAAACTGGAGTCTCCTGTGGGTTGGAAGCCCCCTAGGCTCCTGTGTCTCACCCGGCGCTGCAGTTTTGACAGAATTCAGGTGCATCTTCTCCACAGAAAGTGCCGGGTTTGCACTGACACTCAGTGTCCTTGCTGGACGTGCAGTGATTTTTTTCTTCTTCTTCTAGAGACCAAAGATAAGGTTTTGAGGGGGTGTCTCCCTAATATGTCTCTCACCCTTCTTCACCACTCAGATCTCCATCTACTCAGTTCAAGAAGTAATTCGGAGGGCTTCCTGGGTGGTCCAGTGGTTAAGAATCCGCCTGTCAAAGCAGGGGACATAGGTTCCCTCCCTGGTCTGGGAAGACCCCACGTGCTGCGGGGCAGCTAAGCCCGTGTGCCACCACTACTGATCCTGCGCTCTGGGGCCTGTACCCCACGGTGAGAGGCCACAAGGAGTAGCCCCCCACCACAACTGGAGAAGGCCCTTGTTCCGCAAGAAAGACCCAGAACAGCCAAAAATAAATGAATTAATCTTTTTTAAAAGTAATTTGGGGGCCATTTTCTGCAGCAACACACACAGACCATCCATAGAACAGCCACTGTTCATGTGTCACCAATAGAGGCATACAAAAGGGACTGTGCATCATTACGGATTGCATCAGGGTTGAGAAGAAAAATGTTCTAGATCACAAATGAGGAGCAAGAAGTGGGGTGGGGTGAGGTGTAATCTGAGACACTACAGATGGAGAGGAGCCCTTGGGTGATGTCCCAACGGGTGATGCCCTGCTGGAGAGGCAGAGAGACCGCAGGTCATGAAGGCTGAGAGAGCCTGAGACCCCAGAGCAGAGGGCATGGCGCTCACAGGAGCCTGGCCCAGGATCAGACACATCACACAGCTCAAACCCAGCCCTGCCCCACGCCCCCAGGCCTTCTGCACTGTTACCATCCAGCTCCCTCCATCAAGGGACACGTTATTCCCCTCTTTCCAGCTGATGTTCTGAAAGACTTCCCTACCAGTTGGAATGCGTTATGCAAATAACTTCTGTTTTCATTTATTTTGCTGACCTAAGACAGGATGAAGACCTAGCTGGGCTGGAAATCAGGTTTCTGACTCCTCATCCCATTTAAATCCCATCTCATCACCCAGCACCTTAACTGCAGGCATGGGGGACCACAGGTTCTGTACCTGATTTGCAAGTCGTGCAAGGTAAGCAAGAAGGGAGGGTGTTTGAATGATTGGTGTAGTCTATCCCATCGGTGCAAGGGGCACAACCTCCACTGACTTCTTCCATATAGAACCCTGGGAAGGAAGGGAAAAGCTGGTGAGGAAATCCCCGCAGGATTCCCTGAGGCTGGCAGTGTGGCTGGGGAGGCCTCTTTTGGCCATCTGTGGAGTCCGCAAGGGGAACTCTCCTCAACCGGGCTTTCATCTTTTGATTCTTCATCTACCACATACCCTAGACCAGTACTGCCAACAGACATATGTTACAAGCCACACATCCAAGTCACATTCATAGCTGGCACATTAAACAGTACAAAGAAAGGTCAGGGGCTTCCCTGGTGGCTCAGTGGCAAAGAATCTGCCTGCCTATGCAGAATACACGGGTTCGATCCCTGGTCCGGGAAGATCCCACATGCTGCGGAGCAGCTAAGCCCAGTGTGTCACAGATACTGAGCCTGCGCCCTACAGCTCGGGGATCCACGGCTCCGGAGCACGCGTGCTGCAACTACTGAACCCCTGCCCCCGAGCGCCTGTGCTCTGCAACTAGAGAAGCCACCCCAGTGAGAAGCTCAAGCAGCAACAAAGCCTCAGCGTAGCCAAAAATAAGTACAGAGACATGAAGACAAGGGTTGGAGGCCAGTCTTAGAATCTGCCTGGTGGCCATAAGTCCTCTTGGCGGATCCATTCCAGTGGGGCTGATAACTGCTGGTGCATTTCATCCTTCCTTATAGACATGGCTGAAGCAGGTTTGACCTATGGGGACAGGCATGAGTGGCTTCCACACTCTCACCCCTACTAGGATCCACCCCACATTTCCTTGACCACTACCTGCAACATGAAACAGAACTGGGACCTTTCTTCCCAGCTCTAAACTCTCATTCTTTTCATGTTTGTCCTTTGGCCTTTTGTGCTAGCAAGTAACTTACACATAAGTTTTTTCCCCTGTATTCTTTCCTCTTAAAATACGTTTATTCCAGAAAGTATGTGCTCAGATGCATCCAATTCTTTGCGACCCCATGGACTGTAGCCCATCAGGCTCCTCTGTCCATGGGATTCTCCCAGCAAGAATTTTGCAGAGAGTTGCCATTTCCTCCTCCAGGGGATCCTCCCGACCCAGGGATCAAACTTCAGTCTCTTGCGTCTCCTGTGTTGGCAGGCTGGTTTTTTTTTCCCACTAGCACCACCTGGGAAGCCCAGAAAGTATGGGCAAGAAAAACTTTTTTTATACAAATACAGAAACCACAGAGCTCCCCTTGATTAGAGAAAACATCCATTATTTTGTGTCTTGACTTCTTCTATTTGACCATAAGTGTGAATACTCTCAGGCTTTCTCTCTCTTTCTCACATGTGTGTGCACATACACACACACATTTTCACAAATGAGGGTTCTGCCATGCATACAATTTTTCATAATCAGGATATAGAATCACATATTGGGTAATGAATTTGTGGCTTTAATCCAACAAGCTGTCCCCAAAAGGAAGCTGTCAGTGTTCCACAAAATACAAGAATCACATGGAGAAAGAAGAAATAGCAATATAGGGTTTTCAGCCAAGTCTCTGTGCTAAAAATGACACAATGGAGCCAGTCAAAAATCACTGGAGTCTGAGGATTCGACCAGGATTAATGTGTTGATGATAGTGTTCTGATGTTCAGGACTGTACTGTCATTTGGGGGGAGACTGTCCTAATTTGTGGGAAATATATATTCAAGTGTCCATTCATGGGATCTGTCATGTCAGCAGCTATGTTTCAGATGATACAGGAAACAAAGGGTTTTGTATAGTTTTGTAACTTTAATCTGGGAGTGATTTAAAGTAGAAAGTGACATTAAGAGAGAGAAAAAAAAAATGGAAACAGCTTATGTTGACCCCAGTTCAACTGCCTGGATCTAAACAAGATAAAATACAACCTGTTAAATATATGGGGACAGCTAAGCTCATATGAACAGTATGAAAAGGTAAAATGATAGGACACTGAAAGAGGAACTCCCCAGGTCGGTAGGTGCCCAGTATGCTACTGGAGATCAGTGGAGAAATAACTCCAGAAAGAATGAAGGGATGGAGCCAAAGCAAAAACAATACCCAGTTGTGGATGGGACTGGTGATAGAAGCAAGGTCCGATGCTGTAAAGAGCAATATTGCATAGGAACCTGGAATGCTAGGTCCATGAATCAAGGCAAATTGGAAGTGGTCAAACAGGAGATAGCAAGAGTAAATGTCGACATCCTAGGAATCAGCGAACTAAAATGGACTGGAATGGGTGAATTTAACTCAAATGACCATTATATCTACTACAGTGGGCAGGAATCCCTTAGAAGAAATGGAGTAGCCATCAAGGTCAAAAAAAGAGTCCAAAATGCAGTACTTGGATGCAATCTCAAAAACAACAGAATGATCTCTGTTCATTTCCAAGGCAAACCATTCAATATCATGGTAATCCAAGCCTATGCCCCAACCAGTAATGCTGAAGAAGCTGAAGTTGAATGGTTCTGTGAAGACCTACAAGACCTTTTAGAACTAACACCCAAAAAAGAGGTTCTTTTCATTATAGGGAACTGGAACGCAAAATAGGAAGCCAAGAAACACCTGGAGTAACAGGCAAATTTGGCCTTGGAGTATGGAATGAAGCAGGGCAAATGCTAATAGAGTTTTGCCAAGAGAACGCACTGCTCATAGCAAACACCCTCTTCCAACAACACAAGAGAAGACTCTACACATGGACATCACCAGATGGTCAACACCAAAATCAGCTTGATTATATTCTTTGCAGCCAAAGATAGAGAAGCCCTGTACAGTCAGCAAAAACAAGACTGGGAGCTGACTGTGGCTCAGATCATGAACTCCTTATTGCCAAATTCAGACGTAAATTGAAGAAAGTAGGGAAAACCACTACTTTCTTAGACCATTCAGGTATGACCTAAATCAAATCCCTTATGACTATACAGTGGAAGTGAGAAATAGATTTAAGGGACTAGATCTGATAGAGAACCTGATGAACTATGGACGGAGGTTCATGACATTGTACAGGAGACAGGGATCAGGACCATCCCCATGGAAAAGAAATGCAAAAAGGCAAAATGGTTGTCTGAGGAGGTCTAACAAATAGCTGTGAAAAGAAGAGAAGTGAAAAGCAAAGGAGAAAGGGAAAGATATTCCCATTTGAATGCAGAGTTCCAAAGAATAGCCAGGAGAGATAAGAAAGCCTTCCTCAGTGATCAAGTCGCTAAATCATGTGCAACTCTTCTGTGACCCCATAGACTGTAACCCACCAGGCTCCTCTGTCCATGGGATGTCCCAGGCAAGAATACTGGTGTGCATGCCATTTCCTTCTTCAGGGGATCTTCTTGACCCAGAGATCAAACTCCCATCTCCTGCATTGCCTGTATCTCTTGCATTGCAAGTGAATTCTTTATCACTGAGTCACATGGGGAGCCTGAGAGACTGCCAATAAATGGTAATTAAAAGTCACATAGGATTTTATTACTTACATATTATTTTTTCATACCTTTTACATGTTGTAGCTATCCTATGTTGTGTTCATCAAGGGCCAAAGATTGTGATAAAGACAACAAGCAGATATGGTGAGGGTACAAAGTCAAGAGTTTAAATCCCAGACAGCAGTGCCAGGAGGTGAGAAGGTGAACGTGGGTATGGATGTGGGTTACGGTATTGGGATTTAATTAAACTTTTGAAATGGAAGAATATTGTTACAGATTGAATGGTGTCTTGTTAAAATTTATAGGTTAAAGTCCTAACCCCTAGTACCTCAGAATGTTATCTTGTTTGGAAATAGGGTCACTGCAGATATTAAATGCAATTAGTTAAGATAAGGTCATATTGGAATAGGATGAGCCCTTAATGACTGGTGTCTTTAAAGGGGAAATCTGGAGAGAGACATGCATAGAGGAAAAACAGTGAGAGGAAATTCAGGGAGAAGATGTCACTGAGTCCAAGCTCACGCTGATCACCTCACATCATGCCAATAAATCTGAAAGAAGAGGTGCTGATGCAAGGATTATGACTTTATAAGAAATTTGGCTGGCCAAGAAGATGGCAGATTAAGGTCTCAAAATAACCATCTCGTTTGTGTCTGGATGCCAGGGTCTTTTATGGAACAGAGATGGGAGGTTGAGGGGGGCAGAAATGAGGAAATAAAGTAAAAAGACCATTAATCTTGTAAATATCTCCTAGAATGGCAAGCCTCAGGGAGAGGATGTATTAATTTCCTCCTTCCTGTAGCCACCCACAGGCAGACATGGTCCTGAATGAAGGCATTTTGGTTTAATAATCAGGCAGAGGGTCCGAATTTCCCAAGGCAGCCCATTATGTATAAAGGAGCATCTTCTTTGTGAGCAATAGCAGTCAGGAGCAAAGGAGTCAGAGCTGGTTCTTCCCTGCAACAAAGACAGATGTCTACAAGCCAAGGAGTGAACCCTGGAGCAGATCCTTCACTCACAGCTCTCAGAAGGAGTCAGTCTTGCCAACTCTTGGATTTTGAACCTTGTGCCTACAGAACTGTTAGACAATGCATTTCCTGTTGTTTAAGTCACTCAGCTCGTAATACTTTGTTATGGTAGCCCTAGGAGACCAATACAAATGTCGAGGAGTTACGGCACTGGGCTTTGGATGATTGATCTCCGTGACTGCCTCTAGTGGATACTATTGGTATTTCACTTTTATTCCCTTGAGTGGGTGAAAGCAGCTCAGTTATGTCTGATTCTTTGCAACCCCCTGGACTGTAGCCTGCCAGGATCTTCTGTCCATGGGATTCTGCAGGTAAGAATACTGGCGTGAGTAACCATTCCCTTTTTCAGGGGATCTTCCTGACCCAGGAATCAAATCCAGGTGTCCTGCATTTCAGGCAGATTCTTTACCATCTGAGCCACCAGGGAAGCCCTATTCCCTTAGAAGACTTTTATCATTTCCTCAAGCTCTGCCCCACTCCCTCCCACTTCACTGGCCTTGTCTACTTTCTGGAAGATAGCCCTTAGCCTATAGGAACAGCTTTGCCCTCACCTGCAGACTGTGGGAGTTTAGAACCACCCTCCCTATACCCAGTGGCCCTAGACCAATAACTGAAGGGTGAGGGTGTAGAGACATCCAGCTTTCTGGGCTCTGAGGTGGAATCTCTATTCCAGAGGTCCCTAGCAGGATGAGGATGAAGCTGCCTTTCATAGTTTCATCTGAGATCACCCTCTTGGCCTGCTACCTCCATTTTTTAAAACCAGATTCTCCTGGAAATACTGCTTTCCTACATCATTGCATCTGAATCCTCATTTCAGAATCTGCTTCTGAGGACCCCAGCCTAAGATAAT